TCGGCACTCAGGCCTCTCGTTGCCGTGACTCAGAGATACCAATCTCAACTGTCATTAACACGCCTTTTCACTTCCTGAAGAAGCCGGATGAACTGCGTCGTTAAGGGACACGTACATTCGCGTACGTCATTTTCTGCGACGAGGCACGCAAGCTTGAGGGCAGCTGACCATTAAACATCTTTTGAGGACGCACGCGTAGCATTCAGGGCCACAGTGTATTGGGCTCTGTGGTTGGATCCCCGGAGGTGTCGCTTAATGACACGTTGTTCTGGGCCGCCCGCGGTACTTCGGTGGCCCATTGGAGGTCGCCCGGTCTCGTACCAAAGCTGAGGAGATATATGAGCGTTAAAGGTTGTGATGCTTTCTGAGACCCTGCTAAGAGGATAAGAATCGTTACATGTGTCTACTGAGACACTATTCGTTACCTCTGTGTCGACACCTATTATCGCACTTGCCATGTGCTTCTGGAACATTCGCGGTGGCTCTTGTCTTTGCTGAGATGCAAGTGGCACCCTAACATGAAAAGCAGTGGTAACTGAAGTCTGGAAATGTATTTCAGTGTCATTCACATATAAGGAGTGTTTTTGGCTGAGGGTGATGACGTCACTCTGAGCTCCACGCCATCAAAGTGGGTACATCGTTTTTACATCGCTTTGTAGTTCGGCAGCTCGTTAAAAAATGCAATAAGCGGAGATTTTCGACTATAGTCGAACGTAACACTTCCGATATCATGCAATACACCTGTCACAACCTAGAAACTCATATAAAGGTGTGAATGAACTTTTCCCGCAGGAAATGACGTTGAATGAGGATTGGTTTGACAAGTAGCGCGAGTTGCTGGACACCATGCTTGCGTGTGCTTCATTCCTATCCGCCATCAACGACACCGTCGGTATATATGAGAGTCCTGCAACGTTCGTCGGCCACCTTCGTAGACTGAGCGCATGTGGCTGGCATCGCTGAGCTAATGTCTTTACGTCGAAACGGCATTGGTCTCGGGACTGAGACTCCGCGTTCGTTTACAACACCACACACACACACACACACACACACACACACATACACACACACACACCGAGAGAGAGAGAGAGAGCAGAGGAGAGATGAAAAATTGCTGTCGCTGATGCAGGTTCACGAAGCTGCTTTCGCAAAAGTGGTTATCGTATCCGCAGACAGACATACCCGCCGTCCACCGAAACCGGTCCACCGAAAGGCCAATCTGTACCTATCATCGCACCAGAAACGGAACGTTTTGAATGTGACAGTCCTATGCATCAAAGACGCTTTATTATTTTTTGGCTTGCCTGTTTTGTGTCATTCGTCATTCTTCCAGTCTTTCTTCTCCTTTTACCTCCCCCGTAGTCTATCGGTTGGCAAACCGATAACTGGCCTCGTTAAACCCTGCCTTTTCCTCATCTCTCTCTCTCTCTCTCTCTCTCTCCTCTCTCTCTCTATCTTTTTCGGGAGTTCGGCGGATGGGACGAAGTGTATCGCCGCTCAGCTCATCTGTGACATAATTCTGTCGACAGCAAGAGTTTTCCATCATCTACAGGCAATATTCTAAACATTTGCAACAACTATTTGCTGCATGATATGGATCGGGCTAGTGTCTGAATATCCACTTATGACGACGGTGGCGAGAATCATTCCGAACCTGCGCTGATAAACTCGGCATAATAGAGGCAAGGCTTAAATGCTCCGGCTGTGCAGCGTGCCTAGCTAAGAAACAAGTATACAGCAGCAAAATTACGAAAGGTATTGAATTGAGGCCAGAAAAAGTTACAAATGATATCAGGTTGACGAATAAAAAAAGTGGACACAGGACCTGGCCGCGTCCCTCCCAGTTTCTCCAAGGTGACACGGAATCCGCGGGTTCAGTCCTTGCTACGTGCCGCAATATCGTATGAACGCTCTGCGTCAACCCCCTTTCTCAGGCCTCCAAGGCGCCGCTTATCACTACTCGAGACGAAGCGCGATATCGCGCGACTTTCCGAACGATCAGGACGAACTACCACGAACTCTCGAAATATTTGCCTGCCTAGTGGCACCACCGACGAGACACAATCAGTAAAAAGAGTAAGCTGGCTCTTAGATTTTTCGGTGAAAAAACAAGATATAGTAACCACACAGTGCAGCTTTGACAGCTAAAACGCGCGGCCGCGGCAGATACACGAACCGTTTATCGTGACTCTGCATACAGCATGCAGCACGGGCAAAGAAAAAAAAAGAAAAACAAAGAGGGTGATGCTTAGTCGGAAAAACGTTGCGACTCGGCGGTCGAGTGATCGCGTAGCGTAGCCGCAGGGAGACACAACGGGCCCCTGTCCCTCCCCCCCCCCCTTATACGGAAATTTTTTCGCCATGACATACAGAGCAAAAAATGGCCATTTCAAGGGGGTGCCCCTCCCCCTGAAACCAAGGCTGTGCTCCTGCGAAAAAACAAATTTCTGCATATGCCCCTGATGATGATATGTGGGCTTTAACACCACAAAACCACCACATGATTATGAGAGACGCCGTAGTGGAGGGCCCCGGAAATTTAGACCACCTGGGATTTTTAACGTGCACCTAAATCTGAGCACACAGGCCTACAGAAATTTCGTCTCTGCCGGAAATGCAACCACCGCAGCCGGGAGTCGATCCCGCGACCTGCAGGTCTGCAGCCGGGTACCTTATCCACTAGACCAAGGCGACGGGGCGACTGCCTATGCGTCTGAGAGTGGAGGTTTTTGCTATTGGATGCTGCGCAGCGAGAAATACTTTCTGAATACGGAGAGGCATACCTAAGTCGTACATTCTAACGGTTTGCATGGTGAGGCAATCTACTTTGTTCGAAGTATGGCTGGAGCCAGACATTATGGATGGTGAGGCGAAGGTTTCCTGCTATAGTCAATGAATAGAGCAAAAAAAGCTATCCATTTTATATATTTCTATGAGGTAGAGCATGCCAAAACGACGGTATTATTACGTTTCACGCATTCCGGTTTAATATTGGTCACCTCCAGTTCATAACGTTAATCCAAGTATATCACGTGCTCCTGCATTTCGCCTCGACAAAAATGTGGGTGCCATGACCGGCAATCTAGCCAGGGTCTTCGAATTTAGCAGAGTGACAGTTACCGCAACATATCAGGAGGAAAAAAATATTAAAAACTAACCGGGTCGTTACAAAATGTACAGCCCCGACAGATTGCTTTTTGCGTATGCAAGTGCTTTTCATTATTTTACTTTCTTCGACCATTCACTTAGAAACCCCCATCCTACATATGTTGTGGCTGCGTTTCTTGTGGAGATAACGTCAAATTATGGCGGTGTCGAGCTAGTCATGCCAATCTGTAAACTGATAGCGGGCGGCCTGGTGGAGAAAACAGAACGGGTGCCAAGAAAAAGGAAGCGCTGCAGTTAAGATGGCGGATGACAAGAGCACTTACCAAAAAGATGGCGTGACCGCATCATCCGAGTCAAATGTCATCCGTTTTGAAAGTGTAGCAACTCCGCCCAAAGAATTATGACATTCGGTAGTGAAGGCATTCAGTTCCTGAATGCCTTCACTACCAAATGTCATTTCCTGTGCCCGTTTGTCACGGGTATAGGGCATTTGAAGATACGCAGGGCAAAAAGAACAGACTGAAATGGAGATAATTTAAGATATGGGAGAAAAGGCCCTCATTTTTCAGGAGACATAACTAAGGGCAGAGAGATGTTATGCATGTTGATGATTATGGTGACGTTGAGCAGGCCATTTGTTTCTGTATGGCGTGGACTCATGCAGGCTGAGTTTAGTGGGTGGCTAGTGCGTCCCCCCCCCCCCAAAAAAAAACACCTGCTTGTTCACGTTTCACTTCCTACGTACGCGTGGCTGCTCTAGCACAATTCAACTTTCTTTGAAACCCAGCTATACGAAGCCCAACTTTTGTTCACTGTTCATGGGTAAAAATGTATACGAGAGCACTGTATACCCGTCCGTTGAAAATAGGGAAAGGGGAAGTGCTCGACCTCCTTTTCTTCTTCTTTTTGGAAGGAGGAGGGGGATAGCTGTATAGAATAAAAGAAGTCTGGTACATTTAGAAAAAGTCTAGACATTTTGTTTTGAGGTGTCCGTGTAATAAGTGTGAGGAGAACTGTGCTCCAGTAGATTTAGCAAAAGTCTAGACAAGGATTCGCTTTGAGGTATTCGTATAATAAGGGTGAAAAGCTGAGGGCGTTCCCCGTAACTGTTTTTGGGCAGTTCACGAGAACAAACTGTATGCGCAAAGGGGTCGAAAGCCAGTGTGTTCCGTAGCTCACATTGTGAACGGATACCACAAATCTGACACTCTAGAGTAAGAATACATCCTGATACACGTGGTTTTGTTACTGCCCGACTAGAACACTTGAACATTGTAGTTTAGAACAACTACGAGAATTAATATACACGTTTATTACGTCAGCGCCAGTTTTTCAGCACTGTAGCTCGTTTTATTTTAAACCCCATCCAAATGAAGAAACCATGTCAGCTCCACAGACGGTATCTTAATATCTGTTAAAAACGTCTCTAAATGTGTGCTAGAATAATAAAATGAGCGATGTTGCGTTCGCATTGTTCAGGAACTCTTTAAATGTCCCCATTGGTCTTTTCATGGCGGCTCAATATACTTAAATACATGTGCATCCCAGAGTACAACCACAGACATGGGGCCAAAGCTTTGTGAAAGTGCTACGCGTACTTTCTGTTCAACGCGTGATATGCATGGAGAGTGCCTCTGGGCTCTCATTCTTCCATGTCTTTCGTGATATTAGCTTTGCTCTTGTGGAATAGCGCAGCGTAGAGATGATGATTGATATGTGGGGTTTAACGTCCCAAAACCACCATAGTGTAGAGATGAAGTCTGCTCTGTTAGCAACGAACCCTAACCACACCTCCCTTCCTCTCTCTCGCTGCAGCAAGAGCCGGGTGGTTCGGGAGAGGAGATCCTGAACGCATTCGCTACGTGCGGCCAGGCAACAACTTCCAGCCGAATTTTCCGTTGTTCCGAAGATGGACGTCAACGGCGACACGCAGCACCCGCTCTTTGAGCTGCTCAAGGTCAGTCAGTCGGATGCCGCCTCTCTGAAACACGCGGGCAGTTCATGGAAAATAATATCACAGCCCACCACACGATGTTTTTTGGAAGGCGTACATGTCTTTGTTGCTCACACGCCGGCTGTGTTGGCGGCGATCCAAAGAATCACCCTGAAGTGCACTCGCATAGGGCATTAAGGAAAAAAAAACGCCAGGCCTGCGCGGCCGGCGTAGCTCAGTCACAGCGAAAGCATGAAGAGCGCCCTTTTAGAGCCTCTTTTAAACACTGTTTGGGTAATGCTGGAAGCCACACCGCAAGGTGCCCACGCCATAAATATTCACAATTTATGCATACTAGGCCGCATTCACTATGCTATTTTTCGTTATTCTTCGGAGAAGCGTGGTATCAGCTAAACAGTTGTAACGAATTTTTTGTTGCATTCAGTGGCTGACGACGACGAGGAATTACACCTGAAGTGCGTATGTGTCACACTTATAGGTGATGACAAACTTTTGTAGTGTGTTGGAGCATTGGACGACCCACCCGTTACTCGATTCACATTGTGTGACGACTGGTTGTTCCGTTGCTGTTCCAAAACGTTTTATTACTCAAATTAACGCAACTCCTTTCCCGACATCAAGCCTGCCTAAGGAAAGCTGGCGAACGAGTCCCGAGCACCAGCGTGGCTCAGTGCTAGAATACTGGGCTGGCACGCAGCGGACCCGGGTTGGAGCCCCCACTCTGTGCTTACTAAGTTTGTTTTTTATTATTTCGTGATAGTGGTCACGGACACCGGCGGCAGCGGCGGCGGTGGCAGACAACTACGGCGCCACGCGTGACCCAAGTTGTGATCTCATAACAGCTTTTGCTGTAAAAGTTAATGCAAACAACCAAACCGCGTACTAAGCGAGTGCATGCTATGTAGGCGCGCAACGGCAGGCGTCGAAGAGTACTTGCCTTGCATGACGTCACCCAGACCTCTTCCAGGCAACGCCACTCCGAAAACGCCCGCTTTTTCCATGCGTGGCGTGCATTTTCACTGCATTGTGAGTCATGATATCGTCTCTGTAATTACTTATCTACATATTCACATATTGAGATTGTGCCTTAGATATGCGTAATTTTTGTTTTCTGATTGACGTTTCCAAGTATGAACGCCGCAATCAGTTCAGATGTCTGGCGCTCAGCAATAGCTTAAACTTCGGCCCTATGGCTCCATTTTGTGACATGCAGTTAACGGTTTTGAAGAAACATTGTAATGATGTATCTGAGACGGCTAAATGCTATCCCATTTTAGAGCACCAAGTACTCAAAGTTGTTAAACACTTTTATGAACACGTGATTGTCCACGACGGTGGAACAGTGGTTACAGTGCTCGGTTGTGCCCCGAAGGTCACGATTTGGATCCCGGCCGTGGCGGTCGCACATTGATGGAGGTGAAATGGTAGATGCCCGTGTACTATGCGATGTCAGTGTTAAAAAAAAAACACCGGATGGACGAAATTTACGGAGCCCTCCACTACAGCGTTTCTCATAATGATATTGTGGTTTTGGAACCTGAACGTCCAGGTAATTTATTGTTATTTAAATTCATTATGCTTGTATAAACAGAATAGCGTGGAGTTAAATAAAAGAGGCTAGAAGTTCATTTATAATTTGGTGCTCTTCGATTTAGCGCCTTCGCTGGTGTCATGTCTAAACCTTCTCTATTTTTTTATCTTTTTTTTATTTTGGGGGGCAGGTTGTTCTTTAAGTGCAATTCAAATATAAAGATGATCCATTTATTTTGTTCACTGTATTGTATATTATTCACCAGCTTGCCCATCATCGCCATGTTTTTCAGGTATCCCATTTCAAATGGCTAAAAAAAACGTGCTCTATAATCATTGGACACACGTATATGGTTGAGCGGGAAATCCTCTTGTGAGGGCAACAATATTACCAGCACAAAAATGTCTTCAACAAACGTAATTCTTGAATGATGACTAGGTAGACACCAGTGATTGTTTTTTGCAAATTTAGAGAGCAGAACACAAGTGGTGGTGGGCCCGAGTATTTTATGGCAAGCTTTCTCGTGTTCTCTCGTGGAAGGATATCATCGCTTGTGGGACATCTCTTCCGATAGCTATAGTTAAACAAACCAAAAGAATGGTGTGTCGGAGACGATAATCAAGTAGATTACGGAGCGCTACCTCTCTATTTAGTTTTGTTTTAAAGTAGTTATTCTGATAAAAATTGTGACATCACCCGCTTTTGTTGTCGTTACTGCTGCTGATACTGCTCTGCTTGTTCAGCCAGATGAACATGTCTTACTTTATAACGAAATTTATTTAACGGGCCTCATTATTGATGATTAGACGCTAACAATATAGGCAGCCGTAGAATTCGAGAGCTGTTTTTAATTTTCATAAACATGCCATATTTCACATTTTACTTTATTGGCTGCCCCGATAGCAGAAGCTTAGGCTGAGTTCACATGGTGAGACAGAAGTGGTCTTCTATTGCCTTGTGTTTCGAACTTGTACTGAATGCTTTTACAGATAATTGTAAAATATTAATGGGCTAGATCCCTTCCGTTCTCGGTTGTTCTCATGGGAGAAATGCTATGACAGCATAATTTCTTCGTTCACAGAAAGCCACCGATATCAAAAGATAATTAATTTCCTCTCTACCAACTCAATATAGTACTTGACGAGTCAGAGAGCTGTGGGCAATTTCATAGTCGAAAAAAAAAAGCCGTTGTCAATGACGCTGCCCAGACTGTCGCTTTGGGCGAGTTCGTTTTCGCAAAAAAGAAAGCTGTGGTGGCGAGTCCAACCAAGAGCAACGCCGTGTCTGCATTCCGCACGAAAAAACCATATAAACAAAGTTTCTAACAACGCAAAGCGGCAAAGGTGGTGCAAAACAGACGCTTCCCTCAAACCACTCCAGCACTTTCCTCACCCAAGAACACCAGCGCCTTCCTCCTCCTCCAGTCAAGACGCAACGCAACTTTGAACATCCCCCCCCCCCTCCCTTCAAGACGAAAGCTTGCCGATATCTATGGCTGAGTGGTGAAAGAATTCTTCAGTGCTCCCGCTCTATATTAGGTGGAGGCTCTCGCCACAATGATTCCCCTACCGTTTGCCTCGTTCGTGTGAGGATGGACATTTTGGGGGGGGGGGGAGGGACTTATCTCGCCTTTTTTGTCACTAGGCTCCACCTTATCCCCCGTGTATTTCTCCCTCGTGTGAATTCTGCTTAAAATGCCAGACATGCGTGGAAGGCGCAGCCACAATCACAGCGAAAGCTAGAAGTGCGGCCTTTCAGGCCTATTCTAGACACTCATTGTGTAACTACTGCAAGCACAGTTGCTGGTGCCTACTACGGCTTAATAATAATAATAATATCTAGGTAGTAGTCGCATCACTATGCTAACATTCGTCAATCTTCTGAGAAGCGTGGTATCCGCTGAACACTGCAAGTAATTTTGCGCCAACTTTTTATGCAGTGGCTGAGACGATGAGGAATCATGCCTGAAGTGGGTAGCGCCACAGTTAATAGGTGTCAAGCGTTTGTAAGGGTTTGGGGCATTGGACGACCCGCTATTAGCTTTGTGTGACGCCTGTTGTTCTTTCGCTGTTTTAAAACTTTTTATTACTCATATTACCACGATTTCTTTCCCGACATCAAGTCAGCCTAAGGCAAGTTTGCTAACGTGTCCCAAGGACCAGCGTGACTTAGTGGTATACTCGGCTGGCACTCAGTGCGGCCTGGTTCAAATCTTACTATGTCACCACATGTTCTTGCTGTTTCTTTTATTTCAGTTATTTCTCTCTTATTTGGTGCGATAGTGGTTACGGACGCCGGCGGTGGTGGCGGCGGACAACTACGGCGCTGTGCGTGACTTGTGATCTGACAACAGCTTTCGCTGTAAAAGAACAAATACAATGTCGTGCGCTAATACACTGCGTTATTGTGCACCCCTTCAGGATAAGATTCATGCACTCATTCGATCGGTCATTCAGATAATATTGAGGGCGCGTTTGAGAGGAATTCCTCGACACCTAATCCGACACCATCTGATCTGTTGTAGTTTATTTCGCTTCCGCAGTTGACCACGTGTTTAAAAGTATGTTTTACTGACAAATCTCTGTAAATGGTCCAAAACCGCATTGGGGAACAGTCTGATGCCGAGTACGTTCGCAGTGCGTTTCATCGCCAGAATAGTATTGCGTAATTTAAATTCTAGCGCCACAGACAAAGCTGATATAGTTTGAAAATTCCAACGCAACAATCAGAGGATGCAGTGTACATAAAACACTTCTTACGCTTCAGTGTGTTGGTAACGCGAAAAATTAAACATAAAGTGAGTTACGGGGATGGTGAGAAATCACACAAGTAGTGCGGGTAAGATACTATGTCACTATTAGGCAATTCACGCTGTAGTCTTTAGAAGGACTACTTCGGACTGTAGCTTCCGTTGCTATAGTTGACGCATGCGTTAAGTGTCTGCGTGTCACTATGAGTGACAGAAAAGCCGTGTCAATAAACTTGAGTCTCGCGGCTAAGCTAAATATAGCACATGTTAATATAGAATGGTTTCAAGGTATGACATTTCTTTTGTTCTACGTATTATGATCACTTCCGCTAGCTCAGCCCAGGGAGCTATAGCATTAAACAGTTTTGATATCCGTGAATGTTATTGTATCATTGTGATTTCTATTTTTTTGACAGTAACAAAGATTATTGAACTGTTTGTCTTTCGTTTATCTTTGCAGAGTCACTGCCCGTCGCCGGTGTCCAAATTCCGGCCGAGAGAGAAACTCTTCTACACTCCCCAGGACAACAGTGACATCCGCTGGAACTTTGAGAAGATTCTCGTCGACCGAAACGGAACTCCACTCCGCCGGTACGAGCCTGGCTTCCTGCCGGCTGACATCACCAGCGACATCGAAGCCATTATTACGGGCGAAGGCTGCCTCCGATTGATAATTAGTCATCTCACTCGAACTCCAAGCGGCTTTATCGCTTCACCTTCAACCTAACCTAAAATTGATGGTATACGAACTTTGTATTATCCGATTCCCTGAGTAGACATATTTTGTATTCACTCTCAATCCACGCCGCTGGCAACGTTTCGTGATTACCTTGGCAAAACGTACTCACATTCAGCACGTGCCACACAGAAAACAGTTTGGCTGGCACAATACTAACCATGGTTGTCGCCATGCTTAAGAAGGAAAAATTCAATCGGATGGTCACAGAAGAACAACAAAACTGAAACTGATTTTTGAAGCTTCCGTGGACTTTACAAATGATTGTGATATACGGAGCTTGTAAACTCTGAATGTGCCGATGGTGTGCTATGAAGCACAAGCACCACACAGAGAAGAAAGGAGCACGGCGGGACAAATGTATCTCTCGTGTAACGCTGAATTAAGTTGCTGTGCTGAAAGCGGCAGGTATAACCTCCGATTGGCTTGTTGTACTTAATTTTTCTAAAGCACAAATAGCCGAAGTACGTACAGCGCCGAGAAGATCGCTTAATCGGTAACTATAAGACCGTCTGTTTTTCACCATTATTACGTGCTATGCATTGTCTTCCCCGAACCAGAACAAAAGGGCTGATTTACTCCAGCTCATATTTCGCGTGTGGCCGCTCTCTTAAACCTTCCTCCTTGAAGGTTTGTCAAGGTGCGTGTTTGCGCACAGCTTCATCGCCACTGTTTGAAGGTGCACTTTACAGGAAGCGACTGAAGCCACTGTCCATCTGCCATTAATGCCATCATCGTATCGGACTCATCGTCGGCTGGCTTCCAGAGAAGACAGGAGAGCGACGACGTAAAGCCGAGGTCCGGCGCAAAGGCCAACTTATGACGAGCTGTTCCTCAAGCGAAGTCGCCGGGACAGCTCTGAAGGGAACCGCCAACGCAAGACCCCCTTTTTGTGCATTCGGGGGCGCTGCACCCGACTGGCGGCGACCTGGCTCGCGCGGTCCGGCCCTCCTTGCGGAACGTTCGACGCTCTCCCATACCCTCAATGGAAGCTGGCTGGGTCACGAAATAAAATCAGCGTCCTTGTTGTGACATCGGAATCCCACTTTTTTGCTCTCTATCTTTACTGAAAGGTCGGCGGCTTTTCTTAGCGCCGTTGGCATTACACGCTGCTTAGAACACCTGTATGGCAGCCGCCACGGTACTAAACGGTGTAGAACAGGTTTTTCTTTTTTAATAAAGACGACAGTCTTTCTTGGGGACCTTCGAGGCAAAAACTTTGGTCTGTCTGTCTGTCTGTCTGTCTGTCTGTCTTTGTCTGTCTGTCTGTCTGTCTGTCTGCTGTCTGTCTGTCTGTCTGTCTGTCTGTCTGTCTGTCTGTCTGTCTGTACATTTGTCTATTTGTCTATTCCTAATAGTACTCTAAACGGCACCCAAGTGACCAAACGATACTCCAAACAGCTGACCCCACCCGCAGCGGCCACCAATATTGCTCAAGATTCAGCGTTCCGATACTTGTGCGATTGTCAAATAAAAATCAATTATTGCGCATATCTGAGGCACCATAATAACACGTCAATATTATGCATCTGTATTTTTTACTAGAAAGGCACACATAAGTAATTCTAAGGACCGTAGCGTTTTTCACGCTGCAGTGACCATGCAACGCTTGCAAGAAAAGACAAGTGTTTCCGACGCTTTGCTAAGACGACACGTTGGTAGCACCTACCAGTCGCCTTGCGTTCTACACGTTATCACCTCAGAGACGTGCGCGTACGCCGCGCACTCTGTTTTTCAGGATAACTGCCAGATAGCACTTACGTCTCACGTTTGACGTGACTTGACGCGCTCGTTCACCTCCACTGCAGGCTCGAGGCACTCTAACGCAGCGCCTCCAAAATACCATTCACCGATTTTCTTGCGCAAAACATCAAATCAACGTTTTGTTCACTCTCTCCAGACGCAAGATGTTGACGACATTTGCAGTGTAACATGCAGATACGGGGCCAATTTTTTAGGTCTACTTTTAGCAAAAAAATAGATTTAAAGCTTTTCAAGTTCAGTCAGCGTTCCCGAATGACAATGAAGGACAATCGGTCTATTTAAAAATGCGGCGAATCAGTCGATATGGAGTATTTACTTGCATGGATCTTTTTGCTCGCTTGCTAGTCGCGATGGCAGCATTTCAGTGCGCTGGAATGCAAACGGCCCATGCTATCTGATGGACTGCATAGCCTTTTTAATCACGCCGGCTTGTTTTTAACACTCTTTGGGTGACTGCTACAAGCAGACTTACAGGGTACACGCTCTGACAATAATCATATAATTTTTGTGTAGTAGAGACATTCAATATGCCTTCTTTCTTTGCCATTCTTCTGAGATTAGTACCCCACGCATTTCCAATGCATTTTTTGCAATTTTTATGCCTTGGTTGATGACAATGACGAATTATGCCTGAAGCTTTCTAATAGGTTGGAGTATTCGTAATGACCCATTCGTTACGCAATTCGCATTGTGTGACGCCTGGTTGTTCCTTTGCTGTTCTGAAACGCTTTATGACTCATATTCCCAATTCCATATAAGGCCCGTTTGCAACGGGCTTTCAAGCGCGCGTGGCTCTGTGGTAGAATACCAGTCTGGTGCGCAAGGGACCCAAGTATGAATCACACTCTGTCCTTTGTGTGTTTTTTTTACCTTGTTTTTCTTTCTCATTTTTCGTGATAGTGGTTGCGAGCATCGGTGTGGCGGCAGACAACTACAGCACACGCGACTTTCATTGTGATCCCATAAAAGCCTTCACTGTAAAACAAGCAAACATTCAAGCCGATGACAGGAGCTGAAGGCTGTGCTTTTCTTTTTTTTCTAACCTCGGAGCGCGCCTAAAACGGAACAAGGCACATGGGCATGTACAGAGGCCTTCACTTCCATTTTGAACACTGCAACGTGCGGCTAGCGTACAGCTGCCTAAAGGTAGCATATACAATAACTCTAGCATCGGCTTTCCTCTGTGACGTTATTATTGGGGTAGATTGAGTAGATTGTGTACACATATATCGTAGTCATGAGACCCTCCCCTCTTTCCATGCGTATCTTGTGAAGAGAGTAAGCAAAAATAATGGCAGTAAAAAAATTCACACCGTATCTGCATGTTACGCTGCAAATGTCGTCGACAGACGATAGTCTTGCGTCTGGAGAGAGTGAACAAAACGTTTATTTGATTATCTGCTCAAGAAAATTGGTGAATGGTATTCTGGAGGCGCTGCGTTACAGTGCCTCGAGTGTGCAGCGGAGGCGCATGAGCGCATCAAGTCACGTCACACGTGAGACATGAGCGCTACCTGGTAGTTATCTTGAAAAGCGAAGTGCGCGGCGTGTGCGCCGGTCTCGGAGGCGATAAGGTGAAGAACGCAAGGCGACGGGTAGGTGCCGCAATCGTGTCGTCTTAGCAAAGCGTTAGAAACACTTGCCTTCTCGTGCAAGCGTTGCATAGTCAGCGCAACGTGATAAACGCTACGGTCCTTAGAATTACTTATGTGTGCATTTTCTACTAAAATAACACAAATACAGAATATTGACGTGTTGTTTTCGTGCCTCAATTGTGCGCAATAATTGCCTTTTAATTGACAATCGCACAAGTATGAACGTTAAATCTCGAACAATATTGGTCGGCGCTGCGGATGGCGTCGGCCGTTTGGAGTATCGCTTGCTGCCGTTCAGAATATTGTTACGGGCGGACAAACGATAAACGTACAGAGGACAGACCCAAAATTTGTGGGTCGAAGGTCCCCTAGAAAGACTATCGTCTTTAAAATACAGCAAACGACTGGTACAGTGGTCGTTTGGAGCAACAACCTCTCGTCACACCAGTGAATGAACTTCGAAAACGTACCATTGCAATCACCCACCCGATTGCCACGCCACTCGATAATCGTTAATCTCCGTTAAGCATAGGTAGCGTAGTCCTCGTCGGGGTGAAGTGCGTTTCACAAGTCAAGGACGGCTCCGCTTATAACGTAGAATGAGAGTGACTGCATGCCTATGGGAATTATTTTTATGTTCAGCTCCATTTGTCAAGAGCGCGGACGCTGTGATAGCTCTTGGTCAACATTTTTTTTTCAGTTTACTGTGCACATCCACGCATGCTTGCGATACGCAATAACATTTTTTAATAACGCTGCACGTTGGCAACACAATTTCGCACGCGTTATTTTTCAGGCGGACGTTCTCGCAACCATGGTTGTTTCACTGGGACTTTTGATATGAATGAAGTATTCCAGTCGAAAATGTTTTATCAAGCCATCAGCGAGGACAAGGCATTCATTGTTGAGAAATTTTCACTTGGTCTCAATCGGAAATGCACCTGGGACCAGACTGTACCTACTCACATAACAATAGCTTGTTCGCTGCGTATATGCGCGAGAAACCTATACAACGCGCAAAAGCGCGTAATGTTCTTGTTTGTTTTTGTTTTCGTCTATTGCTTTCGTCACTATGCTCCCTGAAACGATTGCGTTGCGGCAAGGTGTCTTCCGTTGTTTGCAAGCGTGCAGCTGTCATTTCTTTTTACGTGAGCAGATTGCCAACCGTAAAGAATATTTCACTGCGCAGCGTCGATATGTCATGCGATATGTCATGTATACGTTGATCTAACATGTTCGTGCATTCATGTTTGCAGCACTTACCTTTATTTATTTATTTCATTACCCACAGTGCCGATTGGTATTGCAATGGTGGAGTGGTTGCAAAAAAGCAGGATGCAAAAAAAAATACATTGTAAGCCAAACAATTAATTAAAGCCACCGCAATTACAATCCGCAACACAAGTACCTGTATCAATGAAAAATGCAAAACATTTAGAAAAAATGCAACACACTCATTCAAACAGAGAATAAAACAAATCATTTGACATCGTAGAGGCAATGCTAAAGAAGGCAGTAAATTTCATTCTCTGATTGTTTCGGTAAAAAAATCGTTTTAAAGTACGCCAGTCTTGCATGCGATTTCTCTTATCTTGAACCTATGGTCAACGCCGTCTGAGACATAGTATGGTGCAAGTAAATATTTCGCTTCATCGATTCCGACATGACAATGATAATTACCATGAAAGAACTTCAATAGTAATTTGCGTCGACGTTTCCGTAATTGTTTGATATGTGGGGTTTAACGTCCCAAAACCACCTTATGATTATGAGAGACGCCGTAGTGGAGGGCTCCGTTTGGGACGGATGCATGGACGGACGCACGGATGGCTGCACGGACGGATGGAC